ATCATTTGATAAATGTTTTCCATCCATCAGCTTGGACCTATTTGTCTACTTATAATAGGATTTATCTCAACCTACTCCATGGGATTATTAGCAGATTGTAGTCATCATTTATGCAAAAAGTAAGTCAATCATCATACAACACGAAGTCATGTTCAAACGTCATTGCTGTCAATATGTGGACGTACTAGTAATCTGATATATGACATTGCAATCTGTAATAGATTTTATTATTTGCGAAAGGTTGCCGAGATATCATTGAGAGCGTAAAACCATGTTTGAGTATGGGTAACCCTGATCTAATGCGAGCACCCGGGGGGGGGGTATGCTAGACAATCTGTGTTCTATTTCCACCGTCTTCGCGTTCACTGTGCTGCTGATCTATGGAAGATGGTTCGGAAAAGTGGACGTGAGGAAGGCAGAGAGAATGAAACACTATTCCGGGGCCAAAACCAAGTTGCACTTTTGCTTTTAATGAAATCTCGACGTCCATTTGCGATGTCTATTTCGATTTATATTCAAAAGAGGTAGTAGAAATGTACATATATACTGATATATTTAGTGACATTTACTAATAGACTAGAGGATTACATGTTGATTTTTCCATTATATTTAACTGTGTAAACCAGGGTAGCCGGGTGTGCCCTTCTCGTGTGATTTCAAAACATTGTATTTGGAGGGTAACGTAACGCTCTTCGTTTGGATGAAAAAAATATGCCAAATTATTGTTTTCGGCTACGACATGGGGGGAGATCCAATAGCAGTAGCCCGAGTTACCAAATTCCTGGAACCTCCAATGGTAAGAAACAGCAACACCTATGTCTAAGTCGGCAAATGTTTGAATTATGTTAAGTGTATATATTGCTACATTGCTGGGTTTTTTACTGTTGTTTTATTTATTGTTTTCAGGACTAAAAGTGTTTCTCTAGACTATGGTGAAGTAGCATACGAAGCAACGCACCTATCAGCAGCAAAACGATTTAATTCATATGCAAATATAGCCAGGTTAGAAAAGGGTATACTATCATACAGTGTTATGGAAATAGAAAGGGGCCTCTCGTAGGTAATAAATGTACTTTGGTATTAGAGGGGTAACTTGCCTCGCGTCAACCCACCCCAACAGAGACTCCATGTGAGTCTCTATCATATATTTATGTTTTGCTAGTTAGAATGTTATTGTTCACCACGGGATGATATGCACCTTTTAGTCACCATTTGATTAAAACTCACTTGTTTTCCTATTTGTAGAACACACATCATGCTGTAAAAATTGAAACTCAAAAACTGGTCAAGAATACTTATAAATATTAACTGTTATGACTTTATTTACATGGCTGCATATGTTTTACATAATTAATAAGATGTAAATATACACACATTTTAACTATGAGTTGAATATGGTCGTTATGTAGGTAATATGCAAATTAGCAAATATCTCTGTTTATTTCTGGACAGTCAAAAATAAATTAAATTTTACATAGCTTTAACACCCATTATCGGATCATATTGAAATTGTCAAAACCATATCACCTTGTTTCTCTTCAGAACGGCTTCTGCATTCATAGGTATATTAAAAAAACACAGTAGAAATGGACGTCAAACATACGTATGTGTAAATTATACAAAACCCATGATTGGTTCATTGGTGTGTTAAAACGACGCCTACACAACCTTTTTATATTAAAAAGCGCAATCAGATAAAACGTGCTCACGTTCATTTATTTTCAAGTGTTGTGATTAACAATGCTAATTTTATACGAACATTAAACCTGTCTTATGAATTTAAAAAAAAAACTGTTATCATATCCAACTTTCTGAATATATTCAACACGACATGTTTAAATCTTTGTGACATATTAGCACATGTTATATTTACTAAATCACTTCAATCACTTCTTATTAATATTAATAAATGGCTTTTTGTTTTATTTTTCAGGATAACTGTGAATACCTTTTTATTTTTCAGTCAGCTTGTTTTTTGTAGCATTTACATAATTTTTATATCTGACAATATTCAACAGGTAAATAGTAGTATGTCAATCGACTTATTTACAGATGTTGAGTAATTCTTTAACAACAATTACATGTAGTACAAATGTATTATTTGAAGATGTGCACATATTTTTGTTTTATTTCATTTCATTTTATACATTTATATATTTACAGATCTATATTCAGTTTCACCCAAACCACACACCAGTAGTACAAGTGTTTATGGTTATACTCACTATCGTCATTCTTTTGATTTCCTATATCAAAAACTTGGATGCCTTGGCCATTTATTCTGCTATTGGTAATCTTATACTTATCGTAGGTTCCGTCATCGTATTCGAGGTAATTGTTAGTTTACAGCTCTTAAATTATTCGTACAACATCCCTCCCGCACGCCCTCGGTGCATTGTGGGTGGCCATGTACTAATACCAACATGGTAACAGACACGCTGGATGTACATTTTGAAGGTGCATTAGACTCGTGTGAGTGACGTGTTTAATTCGCATAGTTTGCCCACGTAATGCATGATTAATGTGTTGAAATCAATTTAAGTGTGGGTTTGGATGCGTATATCAATTAATTAATGCACCAGTCACAGATATGTACATCTGTTCCTGGAGATATTATAATTCCTTTTAAAAACACTAAAAAGGTAATTGCGCCCATATGCTTACATATCCAATAAGGTTCTATATTTTAAGTCACGGGAAAAAATGATTTCATTGAACTACCGCCACATTATTAAACAAACCCCGGTACGAATTGTGGTACACATATAATAAGTGATATGAACCATTATGTAGGTATGTGTTAAATAAATAAAGCAGCGATAGCCTGATTTTATGTATTATTTTTAAAACGTACCTTCAATACAACACACCTGAAAATGGAGACCAAGTCGCAAATGGCACATGGTTGTATCGTTGTTTTCCTCTCCAATCTATTTCCCCTAGAAGCCAATGCAAGTTTTAAGTACGAACAACCGTCGCCTTGCTCTTTATTCAATACCTTCATGTATGCATTAGTCTATATTCTCAATTCGCTACCTTCATACACTGAACATTTATCTCTTTATATACTGGTATATAGGTAACGTTGATTGTGAACTTACCCTAATAAATATGTGTATGTCAATAACAAGTATTCCCATGATCATACATTAAATATCACAGTGAATCAAATGTTGATATCGTTTGTATTTATTTTAACAGTACCTTATTGCAGGAATTGTGGAAAACAAGACGGATATAAGTTCCCTGCCGTTATTTGATACTGTCGCCAATTTCCCAATATTTTTTGGGACTGCAGTTTTTTCTTATGAAGGAATTGGTGTGGTAAGTGTGGAAAAAACTAATCTATTAACTTAGGTACGACTATTATTTATTAAATTACATCAGTATTTCTTGAATACATAGTTCAGATCGGTCGACTGAATCAATAGAACAGTCATGACATTCATGTTCACTGAATACCAATATATGTTTAAAACCGATTTAATATATTTTGAACTTAACTTAATTGAATTTATATTGACATTATTGCGTCCAGTCAACGTAAAATAGATACTGAACAATCACCTGAGTAACAAAAATTTGGAAGTTGTTGGGAAATAGCAATATTTTGACTGTATATGACGAGAAGGTTCATTGTTTAAATTGCGAAATTTGAACATTTCTTGCCATTCCGCCACGTTATGGTGCGAAACAAATGGTGCTCATTATCACATTTTTTTTACTGATCAACAAAAACCTATTGCTGGTATTCCCCATGAAGACTATCTACATCTTGTTTCGCAACAACTGCAGAAGGCCTCCAAATCTGCTGGAATAGATTAATTGGTTACTACTCACAGTCACAATAATTATTGATATTAAAATATCATGATTTTCATTAAATATAATTGTTAAAATATAAACAATCCAGTATTACCATCATAAAATTTTACATATTAGAATCTAATTCTATCTTGGAATGTCTTTCTCTTCCAATAACAAATTCAAAGTAAATCAGCTGATGATAAAAATAAAGTCTTGTTTAAAGACTACTTTATCCGTTTAACTATTTGTTCATGTGTAATGATTTTTGTAATTTTCAATACTTCGCCCTGTATTTTATATAATGTGTAACATATTGAATATACAAAGTGTACTATTGTAAATTTCCAATGAACTAATTCATAATATTCATTTGTCTTCAACATTGCTGCGTATTACAAATGTTGTTCGCATATGTAATACTGAGTTAATAAACCGTAATTGACAGCATATACAGTTATGGTTAAAACATGTAATAACATATGATACCAACAACAAATGTAATCAAGTTTTACCAACCACAAATGTAATGACCAAAAATACCCTGTTTAATTTTCGTTTTAACATATATATTTTCTGTACTTTATTCATTATCTATCCAGCGTCGGTCCGACCATGGTTGATAACAATAATAACTATTAAATTTATTATTAACTATCCATTATTCAAAGTTAGGTATATAACTTAAAATAGTCCATACATGTCGACATCAAATAATTTTCTCGATTAGCCAACATTTCATCAACCTATACCGATTTA